CCTTCAGTGCCCAGAGCAGAGGGAACATCCGGACCTTCAGTGCCCAGAGCAGAGGGAACATCCGGACCTTCAGTGCCCAGAGCAGAGGGAACATCTGGACCTTCAGTGAGGCAGCTCTGAATAACATGGCATCATTATGCTAGCATTTTAAAAACCCAGGAACAGATTGGATTTAATTTTGGGAATAAAAAAGGTCTTCTTAACATTAAAAGCCTCTTTCTATCTCAGCATGAAACATGAAGTTTAAGAGGATCAAAATAAATAAGTCAAATATAAACAATCTGACAATATTATTAATCTTTTTGTGCAAGTAATGCAGTAAACTACAGAAACAAACGTGCAAATGGCATCAGTGCTATGAATAATTGGTATCGTATCGATTTAATACCAATGAGTCCGTATTTCTGACTGACTCGTGTTAAAATGAACGTAGCAGATTATTCGGTCTCTTTGTCGCTAAAATCATGTGTCGGAACGTTGAGCTCCATGATCTAGAGGTGAAGGAGGAAACCCGGCTTTCTGCTTCCAGACCTGCTGAATGACAGGAGGAAAGTTCAAGCATTTCCAGGCTGTTGGCCTGCTGTTGGCTTTAAATGATGATCTCAGCCCAAATGTTCCAACATTCTACTGATTTCATGCATCAAAACTGATGTTTAATCATTTGTTTTATAATATTTCAACATTATGGCCACATAACAGGGATGAGAAAGAAAAACAATATTTTCCAGGAACCTTGTTTTGCTGCTAAAATGTTGAAAATTATGAACAATTCTAAAGATGTTTAACTGTAATTACTAATTTTTCCGTTTATAACAGTTGTATTATGAGAGCTAAATGTGAAATATAGCAGATAAACATTCAGGGATGAAGATTAGAAAGCTGCTCTTCTACCTGCAGCACCATGGTCGGGTTGGCAAGGGACAGCTTCTCCACTATCTTGCTGTAACAGTCCTGCATCATGGCCTGGTCCTGGCTGGAACAGGTCGCCATCTCTTCTGCAGCTCCTCCCACTTCTGCGTTTTGGAGCTCCTCCTCCTCCTCCTCGTCGTCATCCTCCTCCCCCTGCATGCTCCCGAGGAAGGCCGGCAGGGACGGCGGCATCTTGGTCCCTGTTGAGACATCAGCCAGTAGATCTTCACTGGTTCCATATTCCAGCTATTGAATGTGTAGCAGCTGGATGTATGAATGTTGATCAAAGAATTTCTAAAACTATTTCGGAGTTATAGAAGCTATAGAAACGAGACCATCCTGCAGAGCCTCTGAGGAGACG